GGGCCATAGTCACAGCTACGTGGATTTGCCTTGCAAATGTCTCGCATTATTCACAAGTTCAGTCCAACTTTTAGGGAATTATCACATACAATAAGCGGGGAATGCGCTCTCTGCTTCGGTACTGAAGTCGTTCTATTATTATTATTTTACCTAGGTGGTATTTGATCTTAGACCACAATTTATTATTTTTCGGCACTTTACTAAAGAGAAAGATATCTAAGTGAGTGATTTCTCGCGAAAATGTGTGTGTGTGTGCGTGTGTGTGTGTGTATGTGTGTGTGTGTATGTGTGTGTGTGTGTGTGTGTGTGTGTGTGTGTGTGTGTGTGTGTGTGTGTGTATGTGTGTGTGTGTGTGTGTGTGTGTGTGTATGTGTGCGTATGTGTAAAGGGGGAGGGGGGGTAGACAAAACATAATGTACAACCAAGTCCCGTCTTGAACGACCTACGACAAGATTCTCTTTTTTCGACCACATAAAAGAAAATAAAACTCAACATGGGTTTACTTCCGGAAACACACGTACGGGCGGCGAAAGTTGGACTCAGAAGGTCCTCTATCGTTCTGATGGCGCCAATAGACACAAAATCGATTTAGTTTTAGTTTTAGTAGAGATTTTACGGCATTCGCAACTGCATACGGTCATATGAGCGCAAGAAGATTAGAGGTGTTACAAGAGAGAAACAAACATAAAAAAGAAGAAGGGGAGATAAGGATGATAGATGTCTGATAGGAAAAAAGGAGCAAACCACACCAGAGCACCCGCCAACCACCCACACAAAATCGATGGGTTCGGTGTTGGAGATTCGCTCTGAACGACCCCGGGCACATTGCATGTGCTGAAACAATCAATATCTCAGCTAATGGAGAGGCATCGTGGTCAGATCAGGCGCTCGTCAAAATAAGGAAATCCGAGACATCAGCATTTTTGGGCCAGTTTAGTTGGGTGGGGGGGGGGGGGTTGGTCAAATGGTTTTTTTGTGGGTTTTTTGGCGCAACACCTTGTATCTCCATTCACAAAAACACTTTTACATGTGAAGTTTATAAATAGAAAAACTTTGAAGAATAAAGGCACAAAAAATATAAATTTGCAGCTTCCAAGGACTCTAAAGCCATGGAAGTCACAAAACTTTAGCGGCCATTTTCTCGCTAATTCAACCTCTGAAACCAGGCGACCCCACCTCCTTTAATCGCAAATACCTCGACTTCTTTTCAAGATAAATGTATATGTTTTCTTCAAAAGCAAAGCAAATGAACAGGCTTTAAGATGATACTAATCACGGGGAACAGATGGGTGGTCACTGGGGTGTGTGTGTGTGTGTGTGTGTGTGTGTGTGTGTGTGTGTGTGTGCGTGCGTGCGTGCGTGTGTGTGTGCGTGTGTGCGTGCGTGCGTGTGTGTGTGTGTGTGTGTGTGTGTGTGTGTGTGTGTGTGTGTGTGTGTGTGTGTCGGTGACACGGGGATCAGATGGGTGGTCACTGGGGTGTGTCCTTGAGCAAGACACGACAACCCTAGCTCAAAATACAGGGCGCTGCACAGTGGCGACCGACAGTGGCATGGTTGTAAACTGTTCTGTATTTGTGTAATATTGTGTACTTTTGTATGTATTTGTGCATGTATTTATATATGTACGTATTTATAATTATGTATTTATGTATGTACGTATTTATAATTATGTATTTATGTGTGTACGTTTATTTTTATGTATGTACGTCTTTATAATTATTCATGTATGTATGTGTATGTATGTTTGCTATTGTAAACCAAAGTGCCCTTCTGAGACAAATAAAAGTGTAATTCATCTTTCATTCATAAATTATGCCCCAAAATTGACGAGCGCCTGATTTCACTGCGGCGTGACGCGTATGTCGTGCAGACGATGCGGGAAATCCCTCCACGCAAAATATGTGAGGCAGCGTGGTGGAATCAGGCTCTCGTCAAAAAAATCAAAGCGAAAAAACAGGCATTTTTCCGATTTTTTGTGAATTTTTATTAAATTTTTGGTTGTTTTGGTTCGACACTTTTCAAGCACATCAAAGAACCAACTTCTGTGTAGATTTTTCTGAAAAACGTTGATTAAAGGCACAAAAAATGTAAATTTTCTATTACCACGGACTCTTAAGCTGAGGAAATAATTAATCTTTGGCGGCCATTTTCTCACTAATTTTACCTCTGAAAACAGGCAACCCCTCCTCTTTCATTCGCAAATATCTCGACTTGTATTCAAGATAAATGGATATTTTTTTCTTCCAAATAAAGACAAGTGAACAAGGTTTAAGATGTTACCAATAACTCTACATGCCCAAAATTTGACGAGAGCCTGATTCCACCACGCTGTCTCACATATATGTAGTAGGACCACAGCCAGTCTTGTGAGAGATGGGGCGG